TTCTGCCTCAAGTCTTTCCCTATAGTTAATCACTTCATAGTTCGGTACAAAGAAATCAAACAGCAAATGGCACCTTGGACTGTACGTAATGGGTATTCACAGGAAATTAGACTGTATAATGCACCACATACAAGTATTTTAAAAGATAAATCTGTATATAGCTTAAGTGTATTCCTGATAGATTCCTTGCCTCCCACCACTTCCTCACAATGCATTTGCACGAGTTATTTATGTTGAGAATTAGTCCACTTTATAATTACCTTTTTGATACAAAACAAAACTTCACTTAAATAAAAATATCTCTATCATTACAATTTTTTTGCCTTAAATTTCTTCTATAGAAATAAATTTCAAAGTATTGTTAGAAATCATTTTCGATTTCTAATCAGCAAGGTCCAAGAAGGACTAATGAAAAATAGTCTTTTCTGTAGAAAAAGATAAAAAAACCCACTAACTTCTAAAATACACTTCTAGATTTTGTTTTAAGAAACAGTGTTGAACTTACACATTATTTGGAAAAATAATGGATTTTCACTTTTGTTATTAATTTGCTAAAATGTGTTCTCTTATAATTGTTTCAAGCAATGGATTGTGACTTTGGAGATGATATAATGAGACATGTAGAAAGTTGGGCTTTCTTAGGCAGAATAACCTCGCTTCCAAAGACAGATGTTAGTATGGACCCACACATTTGGAGAAGGGAACAGTATGCCTTGAGCAAAGCGCTATGCTTTTCTAGGTCACTTGCTAGAGTCCAGATTTCAGAACAATTCCCTGCTAGCAGAACCAGTGAACTGTGCCATGCCAGGTGGACTCTAATGGACAGTCATTTTCTTCCTAGTACTAACAAGATTTACTCAAGATGACATTGAGAGAACAGGACATACAGAGAATAAATTATACAATAAATTATTGTGCTTTAATAAATGTAGTGGATCTTGTATAGCATTGTTTGAATTAAGGACTCTTAAGGAAATCTACCCTTAAAAGAGCTGCATACCTAGAAATCTCAATATTCTTTCATTTTTCTACCTTTACCAAAGAAATATTTAAATTGCTTTGCTATGATAAGAAAATCAGTAAGGGCTTATATGTACTGTAAAAAATAATTTACTAAAAATAAAGCCATAAAATCACCATTCTGTTCTCCTGTCACAAGTCTGTATATTCCATTCATTTACAGCTCCATGGAAATTAATACTTGTATTTATTTGCCTAAAGCATATCTTTTAGAGATGCATCAAGTCTTTATTTTAAAACATAAGGGGTTGGAAAACTTTTGACAGTTTTACAGTGACTGACTCTCTGTAGTAAAGTTGGAACTTATCTCTCACTGGATATATCTGGATTTGGGGAATCAAGTACTGACTTTCTCTGGGAGTTAAATACTCAATACGTAATATTCTTGTGAAAATATCTGTGCACTGTCATTATCTTTCCCTCTCTCTCAATTTTTTTTGGTGATAACCTAAACCTAGGAACACTCATAGAGCCATCAAGAGTTATGGGACTTCTTATAGCAAAGAACTCACACTGATTATTTCTTTTAATAGCTAGAAACAGATCTGTACTCCATGAATTTGTCTAATAATTTTAACCTGTATATGTTATTTATGTTTTCAGTGGTATCATGTGAAAATTATATACATGATGAAATGCTTTTGAAAAAAAATTCTGTCATAAAAATTCTGTTAAGTGTTATTTTTCTTAGATTTTACTTACTGTAAAGTATTCTAGCTAGTACCTAAATCATGTTATAGGCTACATTTTTTGACATCCTTTGCAATAAACAGATTCTAGAACTTGGCACAATGTTTCAGTTTGCCCTAACCATAAAAAGAGAAATAATTACCTGTCTAAGTGTAAGTCATAGTTCGCCTCTCTGAAGACTTAAGGGTAGCATTAGCAATTTTTTCCATAGCATTGCAATGGGAGTTCACATTGATAGCTTGTCCATTATAATTTTTAAATCTTTTCCAAGGTCGTTGCCTGTTAACAATACATAAACTCAAAGGATTCCTTGTTAGCTTAAATCAAGAAAAGTGTATGCTTCACAGAAAGAAAACCAAACTCAGAATAAAACATGCCTACTGAAAGGGACCCATGCTGCTTTACTGTTAGGAGATGAGATATGAGAAAACTCAAAAGATATTTGAGAACAAAGTATGTCAGACTGGTGAAGAGTTGATAAAAACTCTATACAAATGATTACAATTGTGTCATTTCTATTTTGTTAAATCATTTAATTTCTTTACAAGGGAAATTATTGAAGCTGTCTGCATTATAAAATATGAGCTGTGAAGGGGAACATTGGTATGCTGCATAGTGTGAGTACTGGGCACCATCTACAGTTGTAATGATGGGTAAGCAATAAGCAGAGAACCTCAATTAAATTTAATAAGGGGCACCTTTTTTTTTTTCTTTTTGTGACAGTGGAACAAGAAAACCCCTCTAGAAGAGGAAGAACCTGACAAGATTAAGCCTTAGAAGCAGTCCTTCTGTCCTTCTCTTTCCTTGTATATGGGTGGTGGTAGCCCTGGTTTGACTGAAGCTGCTTTTGGATGGAACAAACTAGAAAACAGGAAGGGAAAAGATGGAGGGCAATGATGGCTGCAGGAAAACCTAGGAAATACATCTCTGTTTGAACAGGTTACTTGCTCTGATAGGCCAGAAGAGAAAGTTTTATACCCTATGAATACCCAGGTGTGGTGAGTTCACTTTATCTAGCTGCCAGATGCCCACCCAATCAGCAATTGTGATACTCCTATATATCAACAAATTTGCATTTTGGAAGAACTAAAATGACCCATCTTTGTGAATACTATTTTTGTAATTTTCATTTTCCTTAGTTATTTGAAGGCAGTTTTCCTTTGAATAACTAACTGATCAGATCATTTCTAGGTGAGAAAAGATTAAAAGATTTTTCATTAGGTTGGGAACTGAGCACCAGAGGTAACGAATAAAATATTTTGCTCCTACTGTACTGGAGAAGAGAGACAATATTTCTAGGACTGTGAGTTCCTGCAATTGTTGCTCTTATTTGGCAACTGTCTGGTTAGAGGTCATAGTTAAGATTCAATCTCCCATTATATAAAGACAAAATAGAAATAGCATTGGTGTTTAGGTGAGCTTATCTTCAGAGAGTCAGGGTAGATGGGAATTTTCTGTAAAGCCAACTACTCCCAGTTGTTAAGCTGTAAAATCAGTCTCTGGCAGGATGTAAGATAGGCAGGACTCGGTAACAACTGTGTTGCAACTTTAGTTTGTCGTCTCATGTTCTTGTTCCTTAGACTACAAACTACAGCATTTGGTGCCAGTGTGGTAGCTCATCAACTTTTGCATAAATTTATTTGTGGCATTTTTAACATAGTTGTCTCTGTGAACTGAAACAATTTTCTTGAATTAAGAGCAATGCAGACCAGCACTTCTCTGGTAACAGTGTACTTTAGTTTTTTGTCAGTCTAATGTTTAACTTTTAACTGCAGCACATCAAAATATACTGGAAAGTGATAGGTGTGTTTTCTTTCCTAAAGAATGTCTGGGGTTTATGTTACTGAAAAAAATAATTACAGTAAGTAGTTTTGTAAAATTTTACAAGGACAATAGATTTCATGGAAGAGAATAAAAAAGTTTTGCATTAAGTTTGCAACTTGGTATGACTGTGACTTAGCTATTTTGATGATTTTGGTATTTTTTGAACTTTTACTTTTGAATCATAATCAGATAAAAATTTGATCTCTTAGTTGATAGATATTTAATTTATTCTGCTAATGAGCAGATCTGTAAAACAAAAGTCATAGACATGGATCCAAGTGAATACAAATTAAGAAGACTAGACAAGTTACCAAAATAGAAAAAAAGTCAGAGTTGGAACTGCGAATTGAGATTTTTTTATAAGCAAAAAACCACACTTATGCCTGTCAACAACAAATGTAATTAATATAGCAAAAGACTACTTCTATAACAGGATTTTTGGCAGTCTGTAGGACTATCTCCATCTCCCTGTGGGATGTATAATTCAAATAGTTTATGTAATGCTCACTAATAAATCATCCTATATCCATCCAGCTGGAGAGCTTATAGGAAAATAAGTTGTTTTCTCACAATTCCCCATTGATATCTGAATTTACATTCTGTCAAAAGCAACAGTAGTACCTGCAGGAAATCTGAATGCCCTTGGATATCATTAAAGAATTAAACCTTCTAAAGTTACAGTAGTGTGAGAATAAATTTAAAATACTGGATTTAGCTAGACTATTTGGGTTGCATTTGCAAAATACAACCCCTTTGGGATAGAGGTAAAAACTAGGTTTCTGTGCTCAAGGGCAAACCCACATTTTTTGCACTGACAATTGCACTAACTAAACCCTCCTGTAATTCTGGAAAAATATTAACTTGCTGCTGCTTTGCATGGTTTAAATGTGATGATTTTTACGCTAGTTTTATCAGAGGAAAATTTTATTATGTGAACAGGTAAACATTTCTAAATGTTTCTATTTGCAGTATTATGTATTACTTGATAATGAGAAAGCATTTATCAGGAAATACTGATAAAAGGATTGTGTGCATTGGTTTATATGAGTAATTCTTTATTCTGTCTAAAATTACCTAACTAATGTGGGGATTTTTTCACCGTAACAGACCCTACTGTAAAAAATTAAACAGAATAATTGTATAAATTTTGTGTCAAAAACACGCTTTAAAATTTTAAAACAGGAATAACATACTTACAGCTGAATGACTCCTTATATAAAGTACATTTGCATTTCTGCAAGATTAATGTGTAGGAACAAGTATAGTTTCAAGAATGAGCATGAGTTGTAATCGAAGTATCTCTCTATAAAAAAATGCCTCAAATTAGAGATTTTAGTTTATCAGACAATAAAAAAGTCCAAAACCTTTTTTAATCTCCAGATTCAGTCTCTTGCACTTGCTATTGAGATGAGTAAGTAATGTGTTTTAAAGCTGTATAGTCAATGTATTATTATTTCTCTCCTCAGGAATGCGAATCTACTCCCTGCATTAACGGAGGTTCTTGTCAAGATGCAGTCAATGCCTTTGTTTGTACTTGCCTGAGTGGGTACACTGGCAGGTTTTGTGAAGTCGATGTTGATGTTTGCAATGAGCCTACACTAAACTCAGTTCTGTGTTACAATGGAGGTGTATGTGTTGATGGACCTGGAAGAACTTTTCATTGCAGGTTAGTATGAATACTGTCATATAATTGCCTTAATTATAACAGATTGATTTGCTAAGATTTCAGGGAAGTACTGATACTATGTGCAGTACATGAACTCAAATGGCTTTGGTGCTCAGTCTAGTTCTCAAATATATTGTTATTTTAAATCATTCACTGTTTAACATGAGACACTTTTACCTGAAAACTTATCTTCTAATGCTTTTCAGAATTATATGTGGAAACTTCTAACATAAACTGACCCTAAAACATTTAAAATTATTATATTTATGGATATGTATATACTCGTGTTTTTTACTCAAAAAGAAAATTATTTCGAATCAAATTTAGATGACAGATAATTTTTATATTATGTGCACACAGACATATTCAAAGCAACTTCCTATCATTCATCATCATCATTCTCTAAGACTTTTGACTACATACATATAGTGTTGTAGCTTATATACTTGTCATATAGGTTTAAAATTAAGCTACTCTATAAACTGTGGGCATCATTCTCTCCTATTTCAACTCAATTATTATCTAAGTCCCTGTTCAATTGCTACATTTGTAGAAAGATGAAATACTAAGAACGTATTTTATGAACATGCTTAATAGTGAAGCATAAATATCTTCTTATATCCAACCATGTGTTCAAAGTCTCTCTGGATAGTACCCCTTTCCTCCATTGAGTCAACTGCAGCAGTCAGCTTGGTGTCACCTGCAAACTTGCTGAGCATGCACTTGATCGCACTATCTATATAATTGATGAAGATATTAAATAGTGTTTATCCAGTGATAACTCAAAAATATTACAGTTTAGTTAAACCTCTAAATACATGCTAAAGTAATTCACACTATCTTACTTTTACAGTGCTACCTGCACAAAGACCTTTTCTGTGGCTCTAATTTCTGATAAATTTTTAGACCCTTATTGTTGGATCATCAGTCTGAAAATTCAATCCTGTGCATTCTCCTATTTCTTCTTTCCTGGCTTATGTTCACTCTAGCCTCCTTTCTTCAAGCTTTAGGTGCTGTGGAATCCTTTTTTTTTTCACAAATGAGATTGTTTATATTTCTCCTCTCTGCTGTTTGGGAGCTTATTCCAAACACTGTGAAAGTATTTACCTTGCACTTGCTTCTGAGCTTAGTATTGACCATCAAGAGGAGTTCATGGAACCAGAGACAGGGAATTTGAAAGCAATTATAATCAGGATTTTGAGTGTTACCAAGATCACAAAGGTTGTTGTGAGTGTTGTAAGACTACAATAAGGTAGGCTGATGTACAATATGGTTATGATCCTGCAAAAAGAAATGCCATACTTGATACAAGTTTCTTCTTTTGATGGGGTCTGGGGAAAGGGCTTTTTCCAGCTGATTTCTTCTTCTGTGTTGATGTGCTTCAAAAGACAGACATAACTCCCTTTCCTATCCTTCAGCAGCTGCTACCATTCCAAGTAATGTGTGTACAAGTGGAAGTAAGAAACAGAAAAAAATCATAAAGTCAGCTTTGCTCCAGTACTGTGAATGTTGGGTTATGAACCCTACTCCTTTTGTACCCTTCCTTCCATGTGCTTTAAGCAGTCTGAATAAGGCTCATGTATAGACTGCAGAGCAGGACTGATGCGAAGGATGGAAAAGTGGAATTGAAAAACAAGGAAGAGAGAAATATCTCCTACTCTAGCAAACCACCACAAACATCCAAATGAATAACGAGCCTTAATGCCTCTTACACACTGTGGAATGGGCAGCAAAAGGACATTAATCCACTATTGTTTAGAGCCTCTTTTTTTGGGGGATATGGCCTGGGATGTTTCTATTATTGTGGCTGGTAAATCAGGATATAGGAAGTAATGAAAATTGTCCAGTAATGGGCAAGTGTCAGGCTGCCTTAACTGTGAGCAGCACTGCCAGCTTCAGCTATGATGCATGTGATATTTTACCCAGTAGTACAATGAATGGTTCAACTTTCCTTGAATTATGTGTGAATCAATTACATGAACAACCCTACAGGCTTCTTCCTGAAATGAATATGAAAAATACCCTTTGGGATAGTCCTTGAATTGTGTGTTATCTGAAATATCTTTCTGCCATCAAACCCTTGGTTTAAAATTAAAACAACTCATTGGAAACGAGAGGGGTGCTGGGAGTTGTAATTCAGTTCTATCCTGGGCAGACTGCCACTGAATCAGGGCTTCAGGAAACAGATTACCATCTGAAAGGATGCTCACCTACTTTCCTTTGTATTTCAGTTTTCTTAATTAAAGGTACTGGCTGCCACAACAATAAACACTATATAAATCATCAAATTAATAATAAAGATACATTGAGCTCAGGAGGGCTTTCAGAAGACAATTCAACCCAATCAGCATATGGTTGATATAGTGAATATGTAACAGGAACGGTGAAGCATTTTCATATATTTTCCAAGTATTTTGAGGAAGAGAAACTGTTCACATAAAATACTCTGATCTTTTCCATTGTATTTAGTCCACAGTTGGTTCATCCCCACTTTTGCATCTTTTGGTCCCAGACTATTCGGTATGTTTGCTTGGGATTTCAAAAAGTAAACATAATTAAAAATATTCCTCCCTCCCCACTCATGCTTGCATTGGTCTTTATCAAATGTGCATTTCAGATACTTCCTGCTGACTTGGTTCAAAAGTCATACTGTCTTGGAAGGGTTATCTGTGTACTGCTTTCAGTTTGATCAGGTGAAAATAATGTCAACAGTTTTATGACAGACATTGGCTTAGATAAATTCTTGAATATTATAACTTCATTGTACCTTTTCAGCGCATCATAGCACATTCAGGTTTTGTAATGTTTTTATTAGGGGAAAATTTGATGTAATTTTGTCTTTTGCAATCTACTTTGAGTAATATTTTTCAGAATTTAAATGTATTTAGTGGTATAAAATAAGTTTGGGTCTTAGAGATGTGTAGGGTCACAAGTATGTTTGATCCTCTCCTTTGATTCACAAAGTGGGACTGGTTCTTTTTAAATCCACTTTTTGGATTTTATTTGACTACATTATTTGTTTCAGAACTGAAGTTTTGTTTGGCAGTACCCTTATGAGATTAGGTTATAATCACAAGACAACTCCATGGTCTTGATTTTTGTATTCTAAAGGCAGGTAAGAGTGAATATTTGATCAACAGCATAACTGATCAAAAAAGGCCAGGACTTTTTTCTTTCAGCTCAAGAGATGTCAGTAAGAAAAAATTCTAAGATAGGAATACATTGTTCTACATTTCCTCCAAATAAAGTGCAATTATTTTAAAACATTTATTATGATATCTACCTATCTATTCTTGCATTCTATTGACAAGGAAGAAAAGTTTAGATCTTAGAGTATCTTGTTTCCAGTACCCTTGTATTTTAATTTGCTTGATCTGTTTGAGGAAGGTGTCTCACTGGAGCAGCAGGCCTCATAACTAGCTTGGCCTCTGCAGGGATTCAGGAAAGGGATTAAAACAATTCAAACATGGAGATCTATACGAGCACAAAACTGGAGTCTCAAAGACGTATTGTTCTGTGGCTCTGGTATGCAGACTGCACATAGGATAAGAAAGGATAATGTAGGATGGTTTGTCTTAGAGCACATAAAAAGTAAACAATATACTGCTAGTACAAACCAGACAACTGTGAGGGACCATAGAAGTGCAGTCTTGTAGGGCAACCTAGGCAACTGTATCCAAAAAATTATTTTTAAGGATCAAAGTTGTTTAGGGTTTGGTAAGTGATAGCTGTATATTTAAATTACAAGCTATTGCAGATTAAAATTTAATAAGATATATAGTTCTCTCCTGAAGAAACTCTACTTAACCACGGGTGTAGCCACATTTTGAAACAATTGGGGTTTTCATGTTTCCATAACAAATTGTCCTTAGAAAACTGAAATAATCCAGTGTGAAGCTGGCAAATGCATCAATTGGTGGGATGATGGAGTCCACCTTGAAAAACTAAGACAGCATCAACAAGAGAAAACACTGTGAATGCCTCCGACTATTACTGCCAAGAGTATATGTTGCATTATCATTTTCCCTATCACTTCCTGGTCAACTAGGTGAAAAAACAGAACATGATGCTATTGTATATTTAAAGTATCTTTAAACAGAAATGTCATTTATCAATATTGTACATTCAGCCCTTCATCCCAGAGGGAATAGAACTGATTTTCAAAGCTGTTCATGTCAACTGCACCTCCAGGCAACAGTCAAAGGCTTTCCTGCATTTCAAAAAGCTTAACATGGGGAGTATTTACACAGCTCTGTGCCCCCATCAACTCAAAAAGTGACTTAATGGTAAAGTATTCGTTTTGAGACTCACTCAGATCTTATATGCCAGGTAACAGAAAAAGCATGCTTCTGCTGGAAGACTGCTAACTGAAAAGCTTCATTTCACTTAGATGTTGACAGACAGCTTGCAAGGTCTGACCAATGTTGCAGAGTACACATTACAGAGAGCTATGCATCTAAGTTCCTCAGAGCACTGACATAAATTTAAGAAGAAAGTAATTTTATCATATGGAAGAAACAACTTCACTTGGAACATCAGAATCTCTTAAAACTGGCAAGTCATAACAACAGGTTCTCACTTTCATATGTGCTGTGAACATGCATGGGATACGCTCTTTCTCTGTTTTGCCTGTGAAAACAGATGCCCCTTCATTTATATGTAGATAACAAAATGGTTTCTGCTGATTTCATAGTTGACTGCCTAGTTCTTTACGTTTAGTGAAACATGAATATTTTGGTGTTTGCATTGTGTGTATGTTTTAGGTTACATGAAAATAAAAGATTGTATGTACAGATTCAAGCCATGAACCATCTAACCCTGTATGCTACTTCCAGCAGTGGCTGTAAGGGGATTGCCAGGAAATAATACAGAAAGTGCATATTGTCCTCCAGTACTCTCCTATGTTCCCTCAAACAGGGTTTTTTTCTGAGCATGTTTTGTTTCATTCAGTAGAAGTCAGTGAGTCTCTAAGTACTTGCACGGTCTTCCTTTGAACATAT